TCTCCCCTCCCACTGGGAATGAATCCACCCCCATTCTGTACATAGCCTCTCCTGTTGGTCTCGTTGAAATCTAGTTTCAGATTTTTAACTCTCCACTCTTGCTGGGGGTGAGGGCTGTCTCCTCCCCTCACTCGCTGGGTGCTGGACCCCCGTGTGGCCTGGGCTCTGCCTTGCACTATTTCCCCTCCCTGGCCTGGCGGCCCCTCCCCCTCCTTAAAAGGGGCAGGTTCAGGGGCCGGGTGCTCTCCCTCCTTCCTATGCACCCCATCCCATTTGCACAGCTGCCCAGGTACCCCCAACAGCAGGGGGGGGGGTCCCAGGGAGGGGGTAGCAGGACCAGTCCCTGTATCTATTTAAAAAGTGATGTAATATATTGGGGAGTGGGGAGGTCGGGTTGCCCTGGGCCTCATCTTAGCATTTCAGGTGATGGGGGGAGCTCAGGGGCTGGGGGGAGGGAGAACTGGGGCTTAGCACCAGGGAGTGAGGACACTGGCCTCCCCTCCCCACCTCGTGGCTTTTCCAGTCAGTGCCTTAGGGGGGGAGACTATCTCCCCTCTTCTGTTCCCTCCCCCTCCCCCCACCTCGGGTGTAAACGACAGGAAGAAATAATAATAATTTAAGATTCGCACTGGTGTCCACCTTTGGTTCTTTTACTGGGGGGCCGGTGGGAGGGACGAGGGGTTCTGAGGCTGGCTGCTGGGGTGGGGAAGGGTTTCGAGGTCAGTGGGTCTGAGGGGTCCCAGGAATGCTGGTTGGCCGATGGGCTTCAGGCAGGGGCTGCTGCTGCTGCGCCTCCCTCTGTGGAGACCCCTTCTCGTCCAGGTCACTAGTGAGGAGGGAGGAGGCAGTGGCCAGGTCACCGGCCCTCTGTTTTCACAGGTGCATCCCTGCCACTCAGCAGATTCAGCTCCTATTCTTGACCAGCACTCCAGCTTGAGCTAGCCCACAGGGCACACCAGCCCGGGCCCTGCTGCAGCCAGCCCCTCAAGTGGAGGCCCCGGCGCACGTAGGTGGGCAGGAAGAGCAAAGCCAGTGGTGACCCAGTGTCATGCCTGGTCTAGGCACAAACTGTGCCCTCTGCTAACCCAGATTTACCATCTGAGTCTACCGGACAGAAAGCGTTCCTTCCCTGCAGCCCCCAGAGGTTCCTTACTGCCCCCTCCCAAAGCCAGGGCCCTGCTCAGTGCAATGTGCCCACACCACTGCTCTCTTTGCAGCCCTCCAGAGGCAGGCTGGTTGTTCTCAAACCCAGCACCGCCCGTCATGGGAGCCATGTCCCCAGTGCTTTGGCCCTCTGCTCGCTGCTCGAGGGGTCCAGCGCCCTCCTCCCTAGAGACCCCCATCCAACTCTGGCCTGAATGACTTTCACCTCTGCTCACTCTGCGGCAAACTCCCCTGTCCCCAGCCTTCATCCACCCACTGGCTTCATCCAGGCCTCTCCCCCTAGTTTAAATCCCAATCCAAACTCACTGCCGTGGAGTGGTTGATTCTGATTCCTGCCCGCCCTACAGGACAAGGAGAGTGGCCCCTGTGGGCTTCTGAGACTGCAGCTCTTCCCAGGAGTAGAAAATCCCCTCTGTCTCCCTTAGAGAGGCTGGCATTTTCAAACTGCTGGCCTTGTGGGTATCCTGCCTCCTGGCCTGCTAGCTCTTCCCCCTCCCAGCCCCCACCCCGACTCTGATACTTCCTCAGGATACAGATCCTGGACCACCGGGCCCGTCCCCCCACCCCCCAGCACCTGTGGGAGGTGTCAGCCCCTTCTCTTCCCCGAGGCCACATCTCACACACGTCCTAAGGACACCTTCGGTCTCTCCCTGTCTCGTCCTTCCCCTGACCTGACCAGAAAGCCCCACCGAGGAGACCCTGAAATCCCGTTCCCAGGGAACATTGGCCATGGAGAACCACGCAGCGGTGTGCCCACTGGAGCCGATGGTGTGACTTTGCAGGTCAGCTGACCCTTTACACACCCTGCAAATCCCTTCAGCTCCAGTCAGCTGCTTTGCACACTCCCCATGGCAGGTAATTCTGCCCCTACCACCCACTCCTTCACCTTTATTCCACTCCCAGCCACCCGCACCCCAGCAGGTGTCCTGGCCTCCTAATCCCCAGAGAAAGAGAGGCCACCCAGCTGGGGCAGGCTCCACTCTGTTGGAGGGACAGACAGTGCACCCTTCCCCCTGCCTCTCTTTCCAAGGCCAGCCTAGCCTAGAGTCCAGACCCCTTGCGTCCCTCCATGGGCTTTCTTTCTCAGCTCTTAAATGCTCAAATCTTGTTGTTACTATTTGCATCCTGTTGACATCTCGTTGCTATTTGCATTCCGTGGGAATCTTTGAGACTGTGGTCTTTGGGAAGCAGAGTGGCAGGCCTTTCTTACAAAGCACTCTGCTAGTCCAGAGCCCTGCCCCTTTTCAACTACGCACCCCTGGGTGCCCTCCACACCCCTCAGAGGTCTCAGGTGGAACCAGTTCTCTCTCCACAGGCCTAGTCCCAGGCATGGGTGTCCCTTGTCCAACGGAGGCCACCCTGGCCTCTCCTGGACTCTGGCAACCTCCTCTCTGGTCGCCCTGCTTCCCACCCTGCCCCCTCTCTGCCTGAGCTTCCTTATCATCTTGAAAGAGAAAAGGACGACGTGTCACTCTGCAGCGAAGATCTGATGGCAAGTCAAGTCGAGCCTTTTGGTCTCCATCTTGATTTCCAGCCTTATCTCCCAACATTCTCGAGGTCCCCACCCGCCCAGACAGACACACGCAGACACACATTCTCTCTGTTTCCCCCTTAGGCTCTGCTCTCTCCCAAATGTCTCACATTCTTCACCCTCCCTGACTCTCCCCCTGGAATGCCTTTCTCAGCTCCTTGGCCTGAGCAACCACCAGCTTGCCCCTGAAGCCCAGTGGCTCCTTTACCCCTTTTCTACGAAGCCTTCAAGAATACACCCCTATCCCAACTGGCACTTCTCTCCCAGCTCTGCAGCAGCCAGACCCTGTCCTGCGCCCTTACTGGGGCTCTTCCCCCCCCCTCCCCTCACCTGGAGGGAGAGCTGGACTGGGAGGAGGGGCTGCTGGTTCTCTCTGTTTCCCATGGTTCTGGGAGCGTGGGCTGCAGTAACCATGCCATCTCGGGCTCCTGTTTTGGAGCTGCAGCCAGCCATCGCGGGGCACTCTCCTCGTCACTGGAGTCCCTGCAGAAGTCTCCCACTTCAGTGGCCCCAATGATCCCTGGTGGGGGGCGGGCATTCCCACTGTCCCCCTGGCTCCAGAAGACTCACAGCTCCAGGTCCAGGTGTCCCTGGTCAGAGAGGACTGACGTGCACAAGGAGCAGGTGTTGCCCAGAAGGCGGAAGCAGGGGGTACAGAAGAGGCCTGGGGGAGACCCGGAGGAGAGGGAAGGGGATGAAGGAGTTACCACCCACTGTGCCCCCCCTCTCCCCCAAACCTGGGGGACCTTCCTGGTCCACACCAGGGAACCACTTGCATATGAATCCTATTTCTAGGGGAGAAATTTAAGGTAAGTGTGGTGGATATGCGTTACCTGGGGGCTCTACTTAAATGAACTCCTACAGTGTGGAGGAGAGGATGTCAAAGGTAAGAAACAAGGAAATCCACAGGAAGGACCACCTTCGAGGGCTGTATGCCAAGGTGGTGAATCTGGCAGGCAGAAGCATGCTTCCCTGGGGGGCTCTCACCTCGGCAGCCTGGGGTGGGGCAGGACACGAAGTTCTCCATGTGCCTCTCATCCTGGGGCTGCTCACAGGCCAAGCAGTAGAGCTGGTGTGACCGAAAGGGGCTGAGAAGAGGAGCCAGGAAGGGACACCTACGGAAGCCCCCCAAACACTAAGCCGGCCAGTCCAGCCAGCCTAAGAAACTGGGAGCATCTCTCCACTTCCTGGAACAGCCTCCAAACATTGGGTAGTCCTTCCTGGAGTCTAACCCCCATCCCTTTGAATTTAGCAGCAACCTGTCTGTCTCCCAGTCCTCCCCCTCTCCCTCATTTGTTCACCCCCACCCCTAATAATACCGATCCTTCGTTCTCCCTCCCTCTCAGACCATGAATACCTTGGGACACACACCTTGTTGAACCAAACCAAATCTTTTGACACTTAGGGAGGACAATGGTCCATCCCTGCCTCTAGCTCTTTCTCAGTTCCCTCTCAGCCCACCCTACTGAAGAACTCGGGGGCAGGAGAGTGGGTTCACCGGCGACCCAGCAGCTCTACGACGCTCCCTGGGTCCTGGTCAGTTGCACGCCGCCTCGCTGCTCGGCTCAGGGTGGACAGCAGGTTGGCCCGACGGCTCAGAAGTATGCTGTACAAGTAGGAGATCCTCTCCTGGGAGAGGACAGGCCAAGAGTAGGTTCTACTTGGCTCTCTGGCCCTAAGCTCTGTCGGCTTGGAGTGTCTTCCCTGCTCGCTCCCCTTGGCCTTCTGTCCAGCACCTATGGACCCCTCTAGGCTAGGCTCCAATGGCCTTTCCTCTGAGAAGCCTCTGGACTCTCTCAGGTGGAGGTCGCCCATCCCTCCCTCTGTGTTTCCAAAGCCCCCTTCTCTTCAGTCTTTAATAAAGGTCACTTTTGATTGGAATGTCTTATGGGAAGCCTCCCACAGCAGCATGGGCTCCGACTGGATCTGGTCCATCCTGTCATCCTGCACGGCGAGTGGCAGGTGGCCGGCGCTCAGTAATCGGGTAGTGAACGCAGAAGCAAATGGCAAGTTGCCATCCACACCTGAACGTGCCACCACCGCAGGCCACCTCCGTGGCTTTACTCAGACCCTGGGAGCAGGCTGTCTCCGGAAGCCCTGCCCAGAGAGGGAGAGGGAGAGGGACCAGCCCCTCTGGGGTCCAGCCAGCCGCTGCTTCAATCAGAAGGAGAGATGGCCAGCTCGTCAGCTGAAGGACTTCAAGTTCCCCAAAGTCAAGGTAGAAGGCCACTCATTTGGCAGCCTGGGGAGGGGGGGCAGGGCCTGGCTGACCTCTCACCTGCTCCCGGGAGGGGTAGTAGGAGGCACAGATGAGCCGCCGAAGCCGACTGATGTAGGCACCAAACAAAGTGACGAAGAAGCACAGGCCGTACATGCTGCCTGGAGCAGAGCAGGCACAGTCAGTCTTGCCAAGGGCACAAGGACCAAACCAATCCCTGGCACACCGTCCCGGGATCCCATGCCCGTTCCCCCAGAGCCCTCAGGGGGTGGGGTGGGGTTGATACCAATGACTACGTAACCAGTGGGATCCGGCTCTGAGGGCCGCAGGAGGCAGCGCTGAGACAAGATACTGATGTTGCCTTGTTGCAGGACATCAAAAGCAGACACGAGATCGCGGTAAATCTTCCCGGTGTAGCCTTCCCCTTCCACGCTTATGGAGACCAGCACCGGGCCTGGGACAAAGACGCCAGCCGTGTGAGGGTGAGGGACGCTCAGGGCAGTGGCCCGCTCCAGCCTACAAGTCAGGGGAGTGGGACTTGGGGTGCCCCAAGTGGTGACCCTTCCTCTGAGAAGCCTCTGGACTGCCCCCAGGTGGGGTCACCCACTCCTCTCTCTGTGTTTCCAGAGCCCTCTTTTTTTTTCATTCTTTAATATAAAGATCATTTCTGTGTGGAATGTCCCATGGCGAGCCTCCCACAGGAACGTGGGTGAAAGCATTAGCCTGCTGTGAATCAAAAAGTCTAGAAATATCACACGATGTGAGGTTTAGCTGTTTAGAAAGCCAGAGTAGAGTTTTTGGTTAGCTGCGTGCACCAGCCCCCCTCCCTTGCAGTAAAAATTCCTTTTACGCTTAATCAGTAGGGATGGTCCTCTACCTTCGGGATGTAGTAAGCAAGGCCATTAAGCCAGCCAGCCAGGCATGAAGCATCCCCCATTTAGATAAGCAGTGGAGCATGGTGCTTTGCGGATGGTGGTCCGGTAAAGAACGCATGCCAACGTAACCCTTGGGAAAGTGTATGTATGGATCATCATTTCCTGTGATCAGTGCAAAACCTGCTCTTGGTCCCATAGTTTGGGGTGTATCGCTTGTTAGACTTTCACTGGATTTCAGAAGCAGTTTGGAGGCAGCAAACCTCACTGTTTCCTTCTATCCCGTGCTCGCAGAATAAACGTCGGAGTTTTTCTAATCGTTCTGGTCTCTGTCTTTGGATGAAACAGCAACAGGCAACCCCCACCCCCACCTCCCACCCCCAGGCCCTTGTTCCCAGAAACACAAGCAACCTCAGCCCCTGGCACCCACGACTGGCCCCCTGCTCCGGCTGGATGGCACCGGTGCCTGTCTGCCCAAGCCGCCAGCTCTGAAATGGCTTTAACACTTGCCTGCCTCCATGACCCACCCAGAAGCACTTCTTTTAAGACATTTGCTGAGCACCGGCTGGGTGGCAGGCTAGGACTAGACGCCTTGTTTTGTTCTCCTCTGTTGGCCCTCTGGTACAGAGAACTGGATTATCATCCCTGGTCCACGGCACACTCTCAATGAGCCACCAGACCCTTCACATCCACAATCAGATCTCTTTGACGCCTTAGTGCAACTCATGGTTGCTCCCATTGTCGTCTTAATTTTTTCACGAGGAAATGGGAGCTCTGACAGATTAAGCAACTCGCTGAAAGGTCCTTACCTGCGACAGGACAGAGGTAACATTTGCACCCAAGGCCCTCTGATGCTAGAACGTGTTTTTTTTAGATGGTTATACCCTCGAAGTGGATGTAGGTGTTACTTATGATTTACTAGTTGGAAGAGGGGCAAAACCAGAGGCTGATGAGTGACAGGGACATGGGGACCGGTGGTCCCTCCACGGTTAGGGGTGGGAAAGGGAAGATGTGGGAGAGGCTAGGGGGGAGGCAGACCAGGGCTAGGGGCCTTCCTGGGGTGGCACTCACTGCGGGCCACAATCTCCCCCTGCAAGTGGTGCCGGGCCAGGTCGAGGACCCAGAAGACCGTATAGTCCAGGAAGACCAGAAGCAGCACGAGGAGGAGGTGCTGCGTCAGTTTGAAGATGGCCAAGATGTAGAGAATCCGCTCCCAGCGGGACAAGAAGAGGGAGCCTGCGTAGAAGCCAGACAGTCAGGAGGCGGTCTCCCCATTCTCCCGCCCTCTGGACCTCTGCTCATGGACAGGGCTCCCGACCCGGGCTCAGTCAGGATTTCCAGACTCCCTTCTGGAAAAAGGAATGCAAAAGAAGTCGGGGGACCCACAGGCAAGGGAGGTAAGCCCTCTTCAGGGACCGAGGGTCCCATGTTAGAGGTGCAGGCCTGGCTTCTCCCTCTGGGCCTTAGAGGCCCGTTCCCAAAACTCGGGAGTCCTCTCCCCAGGAGCGCTGAGTCCCTTCGCTGGGCTCCCTGCTGGCCAGACTCCTCCTGCCCCAGGTTCCAGCTTCTCCTCACGGTCTGCACTTTCTGCCCTGCTCCCTACCCAACTCTCAAACGCACCCATCGAGCGGATTCCACTCATGGAGGCCCTGCAGGACAGGGTAGAACTGCCCCTGTGGGTTTCTGAGACTAGAACTCCTTAACGGAGTAGAGAGCCTCATCCAGCCACTCCAGTAGGGGGCTAGTGGTTCGAACTGTTGATCTTGCAGCCCAACATGTCATCTAGGACGCCACCAAGGCGCCTCTCCTCACCCAAAGCCCCTCCCCCCCCCATTCTCCTTTCCTGCTCCACATCTACTCCCAATCTGGACAGCTGGACATCTGGAATGCCTGCAGAGGTAGCACCTGCCCCTTCTCGCGCTCCTTTCCCCTTCCGACTGGGGTTCTCCAGGGGCAGGGGTTATGTCTCCCTCTCAACCTGACATTTCCTGGACACCTGGGCTGTCTGCCTTCCCTCCAGCTCTGCAGGTGTGAAAGGATGGCAGGGCAGGGCCGAGGGGCGGGAGAGCTCTCTCCCTGCTGGCCTGGGCCCTCACCTGGCTGGATGTAGTGATTGGCCTCGTGGATACTGAGGGGCAGTACTGTGGGCAGCCCAGCCTGGGAGCGGACAGCCTCCATGCGCAGGAATTGGCTGGTGATATAGATGTTGTCAAAATTGTCCCAGTGCAGGTAGCAGTACCGGTAAAACAGGGCTCTGGTGGGATTGGGATAGGGCGCACGTGAAGCTCCTGTTCTGCCCCGGGGCCAACCCCCACAGGGCACTCCATCCCTTCCTCCTTGCAATGTCACCCTCCCAGGAAGCCGCTGGGATGGCCTAACCCCCCACCCCCCACCAGGAGGGGAGTCCGGGATCTCCTGGCCAGACCCGAGGTGGCCCCTCACTGAAGGTAGAGAAACAGGAGCAGCAGGGACGTGGTGTAGCCCATCAGAGCCAGGGTCTCTCGGACACGGTACAGCTTCAGGCTGACGGCCTCCTTGAGGTCCAGAGCTACCTGAGACAGGCTCTGAGAGGCATTGAGAGTCACAGAGAAGTGGTGGGTGGCTGTTATATTGAACTCAAATTCCTGACGCACCCGGTTAATCAGCTTCATCGCCGCTGGGGTCAGCAGGTCCCGAGGGAATGTGAGCAAGGAGCGTTAGAAGGGGGCAGCGCTGCCCTTGGAGAGGGGTGAGGGGCAGCCAGGAATCCCAGCATGGGGGCCTGTGGACTGACTGCTACCTATTGGTGCCACCAACCACACCCCCAGCCCCTGCCCATCTAGATGCCCCCCCGAGATCAGTAAATGAATCCCTGAACTGATCTCAATGGCCTGCCCTAGGTGTAGGGGCCCTGGGTCTGGGCCCTGGGCCTGGTACCAACTCCTGCCTTTAAGCCAAGCTGCCGGGAGGCTCCCCCCTCCTCACTAGCTTCTGACTCCCAATCTGTCCATGTGGGATGAGGCCTGCCTTGGTCACCCCCCCTCCCCCAGGCTGTTTCCCCTCCTGTCTGGCCACAGCACTCCCTCAGGGAAGAGGCAGTGGGGGGAGGGATGGAGCTAGAAGTGGGTGGACTCACGGACTCCAATGTTCTGGCGCAAAAAGGGCTGGATGTAGCTGGGGATGACACAGAACACCTGGACCACTGAGAACAGGTGACCAAGGGGTGACAGGTGCTCAGATAGGCAGAGGGTCAACTAGACCTCCCAACTCCAGACACACACACACACACACACACACACACACACACACGCTTTCAATGGGCCCCTTTAATGTTTTGACCCTCCCGATGTCCAATGTCCCTTCCTGTCCCCCCACCCCACCCCCGGCAGTGGTGGCCTTATGTGGACCCCAACTCATGAGGACCCCATGCGGCAGACAGAACGGAACTGGTCCATACGGCTTTCTTATAGGAATCCCTTTGGAAAGGCAATTGCAAACTCACTGCGGAAAAGACTGGAGTCTTTTCCGACTCACAGCGACCCTACCAGACAGGGTGGAACTGCCCTGTAGGTTCCGAAGACAGTAGCTCTTAACTCCAGAGGGCTCTGAAGTTGTGGCTTAGCTTTAGAGGCGCCTCCAGGTGTGGGTTGTACCGCCCAGATTTCCCGGACTAAGAGCCTGCTCCGTGCTTCCAGCCTCTCCAAGACGCCCCCCTCTCTCGATCGGCCCCACCCACCAACCCCTGGGTTTGCTCACCGCTGGCCAGGCCGCACAACACCAGTTTGAAGGGCATGAGCGCGTAGCACAGGTGGTAGGCCTGCGGGATGACCCTCATGCAGTGGTCCTTGGCCTCCTCGAAGATCCCCGAGCACTTGGAGTACGGGCTGCCCAGCTCCGAGTTGCACACGTCGCCCATGTGTAGGAGCCAGTGCCACACATTGCGCAGGGCCCTGGCTGGGGATGACAGGGCCGGGGCTGGCGCCAAGGCAGCATCTTCTCAAGGGACTGGGGAACACCCTGGAGACCCCGCCCCCGCCCCCACACCACCCCCCATAAGGAAGAAGGCAGTCCAGGGCTCAGCAGTGCTGTATTCTGGGAGGTGCTAGACAGCTCCCAGGGGGGACCAAAGAAGGTCCTGCCCAGACAGCAGGGGTGGGGGGGTGTCAGGGTCAGGGGTATCGGGAGAGACTGGGTGCATTTTATACCCTGTCCCGGCAAAACTAAACAACAAAAGCAAATATGCTGACCCACGTGTTTCACACCGTCCATGATGGACCGGAAGAACTTTCGAACTCGGTCGGCCACTGCTTTGGCCTTCTGGGCAATGGCTTTAATCTTGTTCAAGGCGCCTGCAAGGCATTGAGCAGGGGGGCAACTATAAGTCCCACTGCCTCTAGGGGCTGGTGTCTCACCGTAGCCCCTGGGCCAGGGAAGAGAGAAGGGCTGCCACCCTTGAGCCGGAAGCTTGGGTGCTGGAGCCTGGGAGAGTGGGGGAGACCAGATCGAGGCTGGGGGTGCAGGGTGCTAGGACCAGAGACCCCAGGCCAGGCTTCGGAAACTTCGAGGTCGGGACCCAGGAGTGCAGACTTTAGGGCACATAGGAGGGACAGGGGGGGTGGGGATATGGGACTGTGGGAGAAGGCAGCTTACTGACAAGGGGCTGCTTGGCCTGCTCCAGCACCTCGGCAGACTGGTTCAGGGCCAGCTCGGCCCCACAGGCCACAGCCTCACTGGCCCGGGTGAAGTTATGCAGGGTGTTGGCACAAGGTCCTTGCAGGACCAACCCAAAGGAGACCACCAAGAGCAGTATCTGGCCTTGCCCTGAGGGAGATAGCGGCATGGACCAGAACCCCTCTCCTGCCCAAGCCCACGGACCTGCCCCGGGTACCATCGTCCCCCCTCCCCCCAGGTGCCAGGCTCACTAGAGAAGGCCTGGGGCAGCAGCAAGAGGACAGTCACTCGGACCTGGCGAGAGAAGCCCATGCCCAGGCTAAGGAAGGCGGCCAGAGTGAGGGTGCCCACCAGGCAGCCCCAGGGGCTACGCCCTTCCACCAGCAGTTCCAGCAGCCCATAGGTCGTGGCCAAGGCCAAGCCCAGGAGGAAGGCGGCCACGCTCCGCACCACGGCCCGAGTCATGCTAGGCTCCTGGGCCCCCCAACGGGGCACAGCTTTCCTCATGACTTGGGGCATGGCTGCCGAGACCAAAAGTTTGCCTGTCTCCAGGAGATGCCCATGAGGTTCTGTGGCTCTTAAAGGGTCCCGGAATGTCTCACCCACCGTATTCTAAGATTCCAGAGGGCCTTTGCTGTGTCTCTCCAGAATTCCCTCAGCCAGTTCCTAAGGACTGAGGAGGGGAGAGGTGGGTCTCGACTCCCCTTCCTTACCTGAGCCTTCGGAGCAGAGACCGGAGGACACAGTCTATGGGTGAGGCAAGGGAGAAGGCAGCCCATCCTTTCACGCACCAGAGCCTCGCCTCCAAGGAGATCCCTCCGGAGACTTCCGGGAAGAGAGGGCAGATCCCAGAGCACAAGGATGGTCAGCCGACTTGATCAGAGTGGAGCGGAGGGTCCAAGAAGGAAAACACCCCACACCAGTGAGTCCCAGTCACCCCAGCCCCCAACCTTCTCACCCAACCCCTCTCATTAACCCCAGCACTCCCTCTCATCAGCCCTGTCCTCTCCTCTCCCTCCCTCACACCTGCCCCTCTTCCTCCAAGTCCTTTGTCTCTCCCAGAATCCTCCAAGTTTCCTGCCCCCTCCCTCACCCAGCCCCTCCAAGCTAGGAAGCCCCTAACCCTAAGGAGCCTTGGCCCAGGCAGGAGAGTGGGCTGTGGGCCCCGCTGGGCTAACCCTTTGGCCCCTCAGTGGTGCAGAGGCTCCTGAGCTGGGTGCTGCCAGCCCCCTGTAGCCGATTCCTGCAGCGCCAGCCAGGTGAATTTCCTGTTACCGCCGTCCTGCTTGGGGCAGGCACTGGGGGCCTCCTTGCCATAGGTGAGTGTGAAAGCGGAAGGCCGGGATGGGCAGAGGTGGGGCCCATCTTCTGACCTTTGGCCTGACTCTGTGTCCCTAGGGCTCTTTCAGCTCCTGGTGAACCCCATGAACATCTACGAAGAGCAGAAGCTGGTGGTGTTATACGGCTTGGTGGGTGAGTGCCGGCATGGCCAGGAGCACTCTAGGAGCCTGGGGAGCACAGCCCAGGCCTGGCTGCCCCTACTGGCGTCTGAGCACATGTCTGCTCTGAACCGGAACATCCCCGTGGCCTTCGCCTTGTCCTGGGCTTTGTGGGGAGAGACCCTCCATCAATCCTGGTCTTTCAGGAGACTCCTCCATGGGAGGAGTCTGGTATAGTCCGAACCCAGGGCCATTCAGAATCCCCCTCTCCCCCAGCCTTGGGGGCTCTGTTGCCCGCTGCTCCTCTGAAGAAATCACTTGTTGGTATTTCTTGAGGCACATGCTGCTGATTCTGAGATGCCAAGGCCGGCAAGCTCCCAGCCGGCGTGGAGTCTACATTCACTCTACCAGAGAAGGCTAGAGGATAAGTAATCAAGCACCTGATCATGCCTGGTGGAAAGAAGCCCACAGGGGGCTGTGATAGAAGGCCACCTTAGCTTGAGTGGTTGGTCTGAGAACGAGGTGACCTGTGAGTGGAGACTTTGGACCCAGGGGGTCCAAAAGAAAGCCCTCCTGCCGGTGGTCTTCCAACAACCCAAGTTTATTTATTCTTCACGGAGCTGGAAGTTGCCAGGTCAGGGGATGCTGAGGTTTGGATCAGTAGGCAGTTCAGTGAGCCCACCGAGAAGCCAGGCTTGTGCGCAGGCAGCCGGTTGGAGCCTCTTCTTCGGGCTCCACACCAGCTGCAGGAGAGCCGGTCATCACATCTGCACACAAGGACATCAAAGCTGCAGAAACTAGACCAGGGCTCCCGTCCCCTGTCCCCTCTTTTTAGACACACACATGCACACGTGGATGGCAACAGCGTTTGCCATTGCAACACTCTTGACGTTGTTCACTTAGCGATGCCCGTGGCCTTGTGGTAACTATCCCGTCATGTCTCTTGTTAAGAGGAAGGAAGCTTTCCATAAAAAGACGGATCCTGTATGATCTCACTTACAAATAGAGAGAAACTGAAATGATTAGGGGTTCCTGGGGGGTGGGGGGGATTTTTAAATTTTTTTATTTTTTGGCCTAGGCGTATTGAGTTTCTGTTAATTGTGGTAGAATGATCTGGAAAAGAGTAATGAGGACGGTAGCCCAACATTGAAAAATGTCGCCAGGGTCACTGTGTGACCCATGGAGAAATGGTTGGACTGGTACACGCTTTGCTGGGGGTATTGTCACCATAGAAGAAGAAAACGAGTAAGTGGCTTTTCCCAGGATCCCCCACACGCCTCCCCTCAATGGGCAGAATGGCACCACGTGCCCTTAGCTAAGCCTATCCTGGAATGAGCATCGTTGCCAGCTTATTGAATGGGCCCCTTTCTGTGGGAGACCAACAGGAAACGACTTAGTGGTCCCTGGCCACTGTCTTCCAGCGTGCTCGCTGTAGATGACCTATCAGTCAGACCCTGAGCTTTCCTGATGTTTTCACGCAGAGTTGCTTCAGAAAGGAGGATGACTTACTCGCAGGGAGTAGAAGGTCCGATCCAGTCTTTCTCCAGATTTAAGTGGCACCTCCACCCCCAGCATCTTTCCTCTCTCCCCTTGCAGCCCCGCCCAGCCCTGGGCTTGATCCTGGGGTAGAGAAGGGGGCCTGGCTAGTGTTTTCACTCCCCCCCCCCAACTTCCTGCCCCTTCTGGCTATTGAGGGGACTGGAAGAATTAGAGGAAAAGGGACAAAGTCTTAAGTCCCTGGGGCCCTGGTGACTGCACTGCTGGTGCCCTTGTGGCAGGCACCTCAGCCTTGGGGGGCTCTCTGGGTGTGTGCATGCCCCTCGAAGTGCCTGCGTCCTGCTGAGGGCAGTGCACTTTGGCTGAGGTCAGATGAAGCCCCCTTAGCTCCCAAGAGCCACCCACAGCCTTACTTCTGAGTATCTCCCCTGAATGGCCTGCCCTCCTGGATGGAGAGCCCCCCACGGGGCAGGGGAGTGGGGTGGTCCACCACTTGCCCCAGAGGAAGTACACACTCCTTGTCTCTCCAAACTAGGACAGTAACCCCCACCGCCACCCCACCCCCAAGCTGCTCTCTCTTCTGCCCTCAAAGGCTGTCTGTACAGCTCCCCAGGCAGCAGGGAGCAGCCCCTCATCAGGAGGGACCCTGCAAGGTTCTGTGGCTGGTCAGGAGTCAGGGTGGTCCCTCCTAGAGTAAGGGACCAGATTTAAAGTGGGACACCATTGACCGGGGGGTAGGGGTGGTTCTTGATTAAAAAATTTATCTGTATGGACCAAATAGACCGTTCCCTACATGCCTTCTTTCCCAAATTCGGGACTTTTTTAAAACGCCAAAAATCAGGACGTCTGGTCACCTTATCATAGAGCCCCTCACCCAAAGTGAGGAAGGGGACACCATCCTTCCCAGGCCTTTCCCAGGGCTGCCTGCTCACCCCTTCTCCGCCCCTTCGGAAACGCTTCCTGTCGGGGTCGAGGGGTGGGAGAACTCTGCTCACTCTAGAATGCAGGGCACAAGGCACCGTGTCTTGTGCTCAGCTTGAGCCCTTGGTTAGACAGCCAAGACCAGGGACACGGCCCTTTCAACGTCCTGTTCCACCACGGTGAGGTTTGGCAGCTCCAATCTAGCCCCCGGGGCCTGGGCAAGACCCGACCATTACCCTTGAACAAAAGCCAAGCTGTGTTTGCAAGGAGGAAGGCTGGAAGCATTGCTGGGTGGCACCAGACGAGGTTTGCGACAAACCTGCATGACTGGGTGGCGCCAGCCATGTGCGGAGCAGGGAAGGAGTGCTCCTGGCAAGGAGGGAATGGGCAGGGCAGGTTTGAGAAACAGCAGGAAGGCCCATGTGGGTGGGCGTGGTGGACAAAGGGCTGAGGGGCATTTCTTCAGCAGGTGGGCAGGGGCCGGAGGCCCAAGGGATAATAAAGAGGGAGGCAGGAGGGCACTGGATCTAATGTCTGTTTTGACAAGCTCACCCAGGCTGCTGCTGCGAACCTGGAAGCACGAAGGTGGCCAGAGAGGAGGAGGCAGGGACGCTCATTAGGCAGCCCCTGCCGTCTGTCCTTATGGGAGGCGATGGGGCTGGGCGGCAAGGACAGTGGGACGAGGCGGGGCTGGGCTTTGCTTTGGCCGTCGTGCGGGCAAACACACCATGGACACGGCGATCTTCTGGGTCCCCTGAGCAGCTCAAGCTGTTCCTTCAGCCTGGAATGCCGCCGCTCCTCCTAACACCACTCACCCATCCCCCAGGCCTGGCTGACACATCATCTCCTTTGTCCAGCCTTCCCGGCCCCGCCCCGCCCACCGTGAGGAGATGCCCACTCCCCCCTTGGCGCTTCATAAGCACCTCCCTTGTGCACTTAGCACATCGTGCTCTAGTCATTTGTTTACCCATCTGTCTCTCTCCCTGGATTACAAGCTTGTAGGAGCTCCCTGTCTCCTTGCAGTGACCACAGAGACGCACACACTTGAAACTACACACACACACACACACACACACACACACACCAGGCAGCTTGTGATTAAACCAACATAGGGGCACAGGTGGTCGGTGCTCAAGGTCTCAGAGCACAGAGAGCAGGGGGAGGCTCTGAGCACCAGGGTCTGTTCCCAGGAGCTTCCTCTTGCTCCCTCTGCCCTCACAGAACCTCGGTAAATCTGAAGCCGGCATAGATCACAAGAAGCTGGTCCGCTTCCCCAACACAAACGTGCACACACACACACACCCCAACCACTGACCATCCTTTTTTCAACCTCTAGCCTTCTCCCCTGCTGGCTAGCAGATGCCAGTGGCCAGGGATGCCCTGCACATGGCCGTTGAAGGGACTCAGTGAGGAACGAGTGGCTGATGGGCCTACACGGTCTATTAGGGTCAGTAGACAGACACGAGGACCAGGGTGGCTGCTGGTGGCTGCGGAGCACGTGTGTAAGGTGGGTGCTCCGGTCGACCTGGAGGATGAGGCAGTTCTTCCTCACTCCAGCCTGCCCTCTCCTGAACAGGCTTGGGGGCCGTGGGCTGGGGGACCTCCCCTCACATCCGCTGTGCCAGCCTCCTAATACTACCCAAGATGCTGGGCAAAGAGGGCCGGCTCTTTGTGCTGGGATACGCCTTGGCGGCCATCTACGAGGGTGAGCGTGTGTCCCTGCAGGGAACCATCCAATGGGAAGCAGGCCCCGGGGAAGGGGAGAGGATGGGGTGGGGGTAGGGGCAGGGACTGGGTTCGGATCCTAGCTGCTCTAACTCGCTGTATGCGCCTGAATGAGTTCCTTCCTGGATCTGGGGGCTTTCTTCATCGGCACAGTCCGGCCAGGGGTTTAAAGGACATGGTCTCTCACAGGCTGCATGACCCCCACCATTCTAGAAGGCAGTCACTACCCAGCGAGCTGGAGCTGGTTTGAGAAAGTAATGGCTCCAGGGGGAGGCAATCCACCAAGGTCTCTTCCCCCAGGGCCAGTGGCCAACCTGCGTTACAACCTCAATGAGGTGATAGCATCGCTGGGCTGTACCGTGGAGCTGCAGATCAACAACACCAAAGCGGCCTGGCGCACCTCCACCGCTCCCCTGCGGGCAGTGTTCAAGGACCTGCTGGTCAGGACCTCCATGGGCAGGGGCTGGGGTCCCCCTCCCCAGGGGCTGGTATGACTTGAGTGGGGAACTAAGGCCCCAGGCTTCCTTTTCCAGTGGCGCATTTCTGCCCGACTGTCCCCTGTTCCGCGACACTACCTACCAGGAGCGCTAGCTCTAGTCCCGGGGGCAGCCTGACATGTCCCAGACATAGTTCCAAGCAACCGGCCAGGCAGTCTTCTGGACAGCGGCCCTAGAATGTCTGGAGATGGAGGTCCTTGGCCTTGTGGCACTTGAAGGCTAGGGGACTGAGTGTGGACACTGGAGATGGGGAGCTGGAGAAATGGGGTGGAGGGGCTTGGAGATCAGAAGCACTGAGAGGGCAAGGTAGTCTGAGAGATTAAGTGACAAGGGGTGAAGTCCAAGGATCAGTGGAACCAGGGGCCGGCAAGGAGCTGAGATAGGAGTATCCGGGAGTCTCGGGGTGGGCAGAGCAAAGGCATATGGGGTGTTGGGATGAGGCACCTAAGGAGAGAAGACTGTCAACAGTGGAGAATCTGAGGTGAGCAGCTGAGTCTTAGGGCCTAGGCACCCTACGGGCCGGGGTCAGAGCCCCCAGCTTGACTGATGGAGGAGGTGGGAACAGGCTATTGGAGTGCAACTTCACGACTGGACTGTAGGCTTTATTCATCCCCGCCTCACCGAAACCAGGGCAGCAAAGACTCTCTGAAAGCGGAGACTGTCAACATCTCCAACTCCTTTGAGGACCTCGACACTCAGGTCCTGAGTGAGGCTGGCTTCAATCCGGAGGATGCCGCGGGCTCAGAGGAGACGGCCATGCCCAGACAGGCTCGCCGGGGCCCGGGCTCCGGCAAACCCCTCTCCTCCCAGAAGATGTTTGAGCTGAAGACCAAGCTGCGCTGCTCTTGTGCGAGGTGTCCCTGGGCAGGGGGTGGGGGCAGGCCTCTGGTCACAGTGTGGGGATCTCAGACACCCCTGGTCCCTTCCTGCAGACGTGGTGAACAAGGCCATGTTCAGCTGCCAGCGCTGGTTTGACCGGAAGCACCAACAGTGCCTGCAACGTGTCTGGGCCCCGCTCTTCAACCATCTGCTCTGCCTGCCTATGAAGTTCAAGTTCCTGTGTGGCATCACCAAGGGTGGGGCTGGAGGTGGGGGCGTTGGGTCTGGGGGTATGGGTGTGGCAAGAGAGCAACGAAATAGAGTGTGGGTGGCCAACCCTCACCCTCAGAGCTCAGCAATCCACTGGGTGGCATGGCCTGGAGAAAGTGCTAGCTTTGTCTCTGGGCCAGAAAGATGGCCATCCTAGGGGCACCTATCCCACTGGGAGCTTCTCAGGCTTTATGCGTGGGAATCAGGGAGTGGGGCGGCACACGGAGGGAGGAACTGCCCCACAGGTGCCAGCTGTCCTCAGTCATGGCCTGGTTGGAGACAGGTGGAAAGTCGGAGACTCCGAGGGCGGTGGAGATGGTGCGGTAAAGTCATGGCAGAGGAACAGGAGAATGCAAGCAAAGAATGCAGGGGATCACGGGAGGGGAGGCAGACCAGCTGGGCCCAGGCCCTGTAGCAAAGTGGGAGAGGCCCCTGACAGCCCCACTGCCCACCAGTGATGGAACTCTGGTGCCGAAATCGCATCCCTGTGGAAGGCAACTTTGGGCAGACGTACGACACGCTCAACCAGTCTGTTCATAGTCTGACAAGGGAATTTTCTGCCAGTATTCACCTAAAAGTAAGAGTTGGGGAGCACTTGAGGGTGGGAGAGGGTGAGAAGGCGAGCGGACAGCAAGCACGCCAGGTGACAGGAAACAGGTGGCTGGGTGCCAGGGACAGGGACATGGAGGATGGGGCTCTGAGGTAAGCGCAGGGTTTGGATGGCAAGAAGAGGGCCGGGGTTGAATGGGAACGTGTGGGCCTGGCTTTGGCACGGAAGGGTGGGTCCGCCAGGCAGCATCAGTAGATGCAGGGGTGGGGGCGGCCAACAGAAAGACCACTCCGGAAGGGCTGTCAGGTGGCTGCCGAGGAGAGGCAGTGGGGGCCCGGGCTCCACGTGCAGCGCAGGGTGTCTGTCCGCGGGCCCACCAGGAGCAGCGGCGCGCTGGCGTGCTGGGCCTCAACACCAGCTGGAAGCACGTGAGCACGGAGGCTCGGGACTACGTGCGTGCGCAGGAGGCCCAGCTGGAGTGGACCCTGGGGCTGCTGCAGGTGCTGCTGTCCTGCACCTTCCTGCTGGTCCTACACGCGTGAGTCAGCAGCCCCGGCCCTGCCCCACTCCCCCGCCGCCGGAGTGCCCTGCCCCCTGCCCGGGGGTCGGGGAAGCACCCACCGTGCCCACCCCCCTGAAGCCAAATGTTTGCTTTGAAACTTTGTCGGTTTATAAAGTGGAGTTTCATTGCTTACCAAAAAAAAAAAAGGGAAACAGGGGCCTTCTGCGAGAAGAGCCGCGCGCGCGTGTCCGCCACCTTGAAAGGGCGGCCGCCTCCGCGCACGCACCCTCTGGCCATCTTTCATCCCTGCTCGTTTTGCATTCAGCTCGGACCTTTGATTCTTCCCCTTGCCCTTCATGTTCCCCTCGGCGCTGACTTTGTGCCATTTTTATCTTCCAATTCTGCTTTCATTTTCTCCCGCCAGCTGCGTTGGCAGCGACTTCCCTCCCTTTGGACCAAAGTCCTGCACCCCACCCGGCGTCCAGCGGGGCTGCCCTGGGCCTTGCTCTCCAGCCCCTGCTGACCTCTGGACCCTCTGTTTCCCGTCTCCACCCCGCATGCCTGAGCTGGGTGGGCAGGGGCTGGGCACGGAAGTCCCAGGGGCCCTTACTTTGCTTCCGTTTGTGGGGCAAGAGCGCGGGGGGGCCTGTGATAGGACAGAGAGGAAAGAGCCAGCGTCCTGTCCTCAGGAACTCCTGGTCCAGCTGGGGAAGCAAGAGCAGACAGACAGACAAAACGCCCCCTGCCCTGACAGTTGTCACTCAGAGGGCTCTCCCCAGGGGTTCCCAAGGACACGCCTCTGGGCGGGTTCAAGCCCCCCAGCTTCTACCAGAAGCCAAGTGCTTAGCTGTTTATGACCCAGGTACTGGACACGAGGTCCAGGTGTGAGAGCTGCCCAGGGCAGAGCTCCGCCAGCAGATGGGAGCCCTGGTTCACAAGAAGGGGATGTTCTTGGGCAAGCATCCTGGCAGAGCCTGGGGTGGGGGACTGTGCTGAAGGTGGCCATGGCTGGACCCATGGAGAGCCTGAACTGGGGCAGTTGCAGATGGAACTGGGACAGGGTGGAGGCGCAAGGCCAGGCTAGGTCGGAGGTTAGGGAGCCTGGGTGCGGTGGGACGTGGCAAGAAGGTGGCCTGAGCAGAGAGGGAGAACAGGATCACTGAGGCAAAAGGCAGCCTGGAGGCTACTTCCGCCCGGCAGAGCTGGCCAGTGGGTGTGGCCAGTGGGCGGGAGGCCCTGGCCACGAAGCACCGGTCTCTCCACACGGGGGCGCGCACAGTCTGCGTTTGCATTTATGGTGCCTGCCAGTTTAAAGGCAAAGGAGACTTTCCCTGGGTTCCAGAAGAAACAGCGTTTCCACAGCGTGTATAGCTGAGTCCATGCCATTTCCCACAGCCACCTCTGACAGCTTGCACTGCTTCTTCAGGAAACAAGCCTTCCGCAGGACTTTGGGAGACACTGGGAGGATGGCTACCCACACACACACACACACACACACACACACACACCCCTGCACTCACCCACAAACACCCCTATGCCTCTACACACACTCCCACCCAGCCACACTCAACCACCTCTACCACTCCACCCCCTACAGCTCACCCCCTTACATCCACACCCATCCACCTCCACAAACACCCACCCACCTAGACCATGCTTCCTGTCCTATACACTACACATGCGTGTGTGTGTGTGTGTGTGTGTGTACACACTGTAGTGCTCAGGGGGAGCCAGGAGGGCAGGGGTCTGTCAGAGAAGGAGCTGGTGGTTGGGGATGGGGTGGCTTCAGGGGGCCGCCTTCCAGGAGCGATTCTGCAGGCGCTGAAGGCATCCACATGGGAGCCCCTTGAAAGGCTGTCGTTCCCATCGTTTCCCCTCCGACATGCACCCTGGAAGGTCCATGCCCGGGCGGCCTTCCCTTACCTCACACGAGGACTCCTGACCCCAGCAGGCTGGCACCCGGGTCCCCTGGCCCTTGTTTGTCTCCTTGGTTGTGTGGGAGGGTGACTTCACTGTGTGGTGCCCGGCTGGGGGAGCAGTCTCCTCGCTGGCCCTCCCAGCACAGTGCCTGGGCCCTGGGTGGGGCTGGTGGTGGGCGGTGGACAGAAGTGGAGACCCACCCCTGTCCATCCATCTGCAGGTCCTTCTCCTACACGGATAAGTATAACAAGGACATCCGCTTTGATAATATCTACATCAGCACGTACTTCTGTCAGATCGATGCACGCAGGCAGAAGCTGGTGAGTGGGCACACGCTGCCCTGGGTGCACCGCAGCGTCCTGGCTCCAGGGGGGGTGGGGAGCAAAGGGCCTCTGGGCCACCTCCCTGCCTGCTTGCTTCCTTGCTCAGGGCAAACGGACGCTGCTGCCGCTTCGCAACGCTGAGAAGAAGGCGGTCATCTTCCCCTGCAAGCCCACCATCCAGACCTCTGAGATGAAGAATGTGGTGCGGGGGCAGGTCGGGGGGCGGAGCGCCACGCAGGGCAGCGGGCGGCAGCGGTGCCCAGTCCAAGCCGCCTGCTCCTGGAGCAGGTCAGGGAGCTCCTGGAGTCGGTGCCGGTTCTGCTGCTGCTGCTGCTGCTGTGTGGGCTGGACTGGGCTCTCTACTCCATCTTTGACACCATCCGCCACCACTCCTTCCTACAGTACTCCTTCCGCAGTGAGCGTGCCCCCCCACCCCCACCCCAGGGCTCCTGACCCTCTTGTCCAACTCAGGACCCCAAGACACTCCACTACACACACACCCCCCAACTTCAACCTCTGTGCGGCCGCCTCACCCCACATCTCCCAATTTCATCTCCTCCTCGGTTCCCCTCCACCAACCTGCTCGGGGTCAAGTCTCACACTGGTGGCTGGCCCTGGGGGCCTCCGGCGCCACCCTTTGCACCTACAATGGGGAGGGTGGGGCTCAATGAGTGGAAAGTCCTGGGCAGCCAAGGAGTAGCTCTCTGTCAGGACCCCTCCCTGACATTGGGCCCCCGGCCCCCACAGGCAGCCATAAACTGCAGGTGAGAGTGGAAGGGAACTCCATGCTCGCCCGCCTCCTCCGGAAAACCATCGGGGCCCTCAACACCTCCTCGGAGACGGCCGTGGAAACCAACAATCTGCGTGAGCCAGGCCACCCATAGGTGGGAGGGGGCGGGCGCCGGTCAAGAGACTCCAAGGTAAAGTGTGAGGGTGGGTAGGTGGGGTGCTAGGCCTGGCGTGGAGAGACGGGCATCATGGGCATGGGTCTGGCTGCTCAGAATTCAGGCAGGCTTGGGGAGTGGAGGATGGGATCAGAGAGTTCTACCTTCTGAAGTTCTCTCACTAAACTTGGGGCCGTCGAGTCCTTGCGGACTCACAGCGACACCCCCTGGGGGGGTTCCAAGACTGTAACTGTTGACCGGAGTAGAAAGCCCAGCCTTTCTAGAACCCGAGGAGCTGCTGGTGGTTTCAAACTGCCAACCATGAGGCCTGCAGTGCAATGCTTAACCCCTACACCATCGGGGCTCCACGAGGGAGCAGCACTATCCACAGAGCTTCCTGCCGTGGTACTCAGGCCCAATCTGTGCCTGGTGGCCACCATGCTGACAGGGGGCCGGGCAGGCAGAGAGCAAGGTAAGCCCAGGCGTCCCGGTGCTTATTTACTAATCGGTGGTAAGCAATTCCACACGGGTCCACCCCATCTCGGTGCAAAGACGTGATATCAAACCCATGTTTATCAGTTTACCGCAGATTGGTAAACACCGGGAAGCCTGTACTTGCCTTGCCCACTGGGCACTCTATCCCTGTCGGGGACTGTCAACGTTGAAGAGGCTTAGGCTCTGCAGGAAGGGGCTCCTGGGGGGCTGGGGGGCTGTCGCCAGCAAAGTCGAGTCTCCGACGTGGTGGGGAAATGTGAAATTGTTCACTGTAGAGCCCTAAGTAGACACAAGGAAGCCTGTGCTTACCTCGTTTGTTGGCTGCTCCCGTACCAGGCAGGCAGGGGGAGAGCAGGGCCATCAGAGGAGAGGCCTGCACATCCCACTGGGGCAGGGATCCCACCCTGAGCTGTCCTGTCCTCCAGCTGGGCCTGACCAGATGGCTGACAGGCCTGCTCCCACCCCCAGCCTGCCTGCCCCAGCCAGAGAGCCTGGATGCCAAGGCCTACCTCAGGGCTGCACTCCCTACAGGCCTGTTGGTGTGTCTCTGCCTACTCCAGGCCTTTGGCTACCGGCTCCGAAGGGTCATTGCGGCCTTCTACTTTCCCAAGGTATGCCCTCCCCATGTCCTAGTACCCCTGCACACCTCCCTGCCTCAACCACATCTTTTGAGGGGCCTCCTTTCTCCCCTGCTCCGTCGCTGTGTCCCTGCCCTCAGAGAGAGAAGCAGCGGATCTTGTTCTTCTACAATGACCTGCTGAGGAAGAGAGCGGCCTTCACCAAGCTGAGGAGGGCCGCCATTGTGCGGCGAGCCCGACAGCAGAGGACTCCGGTAAGCCCAGGCCTGTCCTGCCAGCCCCCAGCTCCCAGAGGACTGCAGGCCAGGGGTGTCTCACGTCAGTCCACCTAGCACCCAGAAAGGCCCCAGGCCTCTTCGGGGTCCATGAGTCTTGGTGCGGTGCATGCTAAGGGCTCCAGGCACCCAGCCCCATCTTGTTCTTGTACCTCATGAGCCGGCTTCAGTGGCCAGACGCACCGGGTTGCTGAGCAGTGTGGAGACACAAGGAGTCAGGCTTGATCCGGTCAGAGGACAGCAAGAGGGGCTCACCAGAGGTTGGAAGCGGGGGACCCGGTGCAGGCCAGAAGTTCAGCACAGTGCAGAGGCTGGGGTGAAGGGCAGGTGGGCAGGGACCGGCAGAGCTTCATGAAGCAGGGCACATGGTATATGGAAGGAGCACCGAGTTCAAAGAACCAGTTTCCTCCAGTCCACCCTCCATCATTAGCTTGCATGACCTGGGCCATGGTACTTACTGGGTCTGTTTCCTGCTCTGAAGAGCAAGCGGGGAGACCAGCTAGTTTGGTCTCTGGAGAGCAGTATGTGCGGTGGGGTGGTCCAGTGTGGGGCTGAGAGCCCAGGTTTGAATCCTGGCTCCTCCCTTTACGATGGCAGCTGTATGACTGTGACCCATGTTCCTTACCTCCATGGCTTGGTTCTTCCCCTCTACAAGTCGGGGTTCCCTTCTCCACCCAGCTGTTGCAAGGATCAGATGGCACCATCCCACGGTGTCCGTCGGTGTGCAGCAAGCACTACAGGTGTGGCAGTTGTTACCATGTGACCCTGGCTTAAGGGTCTGCATCCACAAGCAGCACTGTTCTCAACTGACAGATGATGATGAGGAGGAAAACAGTACCTGCCTGATGTGGTCACCGTTTGAATTGCTCTACTTACAGTTCTTAGCACGGGGCTCAAGGTTGTACCCAGAGGGACACAATGAAGGACAGCCATTTTTATTTAACCCACCCCTTAAGGAAGCTCCAAAGGGGGAGAGGCTGTGTTTTGCTCACGTTTTGCTGCAGTGCCTAGATCCTAAGGGCCCCCATAGAACACAACAGGGACAGAACAGATGTCTCATGTGACAACACACATGCTGAGAGTGTACGACCCAGTTCTGAAATAAGCTGGCCTTCCAGGGACACGTGGAAATGTGAGGGACACTTGATTCAGGCAGAAGGTAGAGAATGTACAGAGACCAATGCCAAGGGCAGGGAGCTTCCTTGGAGAAAAGCTCACAGAGGAGGCAGCATTCAGGGAGGGGCATGGTGGGGCAGAAGGAGCCCCTGGCCCTACAAATGATCCAGTGCTCAGCTACTAACTGAGAGGACAGTGGGTGGGATGCCTCAGGAGAAGGGCCTAGTGGTCTGCTTCTGCAAGGCCACCCGCAGGAGACCCATTAGAGCATGGGTCTGCCCTTCGGTTGGAGCCACTGATGGTGGTTTATTTAAGGTAGACTAGAGGCTAGGAAGGAATTCGACTCTGGAAAGCTCTAAATGCCAAAGCCAGGAGTTTTGCCTTTGTCTGCAAGGCAGTGGTGGCCCCTGGAGTTTCTGGAGGGAGGGAATGAATGGCCTGATAAGGGTGGAAAGAATGCCTGGCCATTGTGTGCAGAGAGGGAGGACCCACGGTGACGTGTACTGACCCAGGCTAGTGATTTCAACTCCAGGGACCTGGGTCCAAGCCACCCGATTGTTCTCTAGCTAAATGCCTTTGGCAAAGTCATGTCCTCTCTCTGAGATTTGCCGTGCTCACCTGGAAAGCGGGGATCGCCAGAGTGATCATCTTATCTGTCCTAGTCACTTGTCAGCCCTACGGTGGGAACCAAGCAAAATTGATTTCCGGGAAAGGGTGTGAATGGTAGTTGCTGCTGTTGGCTAGGGAGCCCAGGGCTTCCTTCACCCACTCTCCATCACCTGAACAGAGTTGGGGAAGATCACGCTCTACGGTCCATTCCTACCTGCCAGCCCTGCCCCTTCCGGGGGTTTTCTCCTCTTGCACCGGCTTTCAGCAACACGTGGGCCTTGTCAGGCCTTGACATTTCGGAAAAGCACTAGTCCGGGCCTCCTAGATAGGCGTTTCCCCAGCTGGCTCTAATCTACACCTTCCTCATCTTCCACCAGCGCCACCACCTGGTGGACACCTTGCACCGCCGCTGCCCGCTCCTGCGCCGCTGGCTGCGCCGCCGCTGCGTGGTGTGCACCGCACCTGAGACGGCCGAGTCCTACGTGTGCCCGACGTCGGGCTGCGCGGCCGTGTACTGCCGGTCGTGCTGGGTGGACATGCGGCAGCGATGCCCGGTCTGCACACCCCGCGAGGAGCTCTCCTCCTCCGACTTCGGCGACAGTGACGACGACGCCGCCTACGCGGAGTGAAGGGCACCTCGCCCACTCCCCGAGCTCGCCCCTGGCTGTGGAATAAAATGCCTCGCACGCTCCTCCGGGTGCCCGCCTCCCGCGGGGTTCCGAGCCTGGGGGTCTAGAAGCCACCTTGCGTGGCGGCCGGGAGGGGCAGGCCCGCCCGGAGGGGGGCGGGGACCCGCAAAGCTGCCCGGGAGGAGCCGGGCACGGGCGTCGCCGGGGCTCGGTCCAGCTCGCCGCGGATGGACAAGAGGCTGGGTTGCACGGCGTGGGCGGAGCCGGCCTGGTGGGTGGAGTTTCCGCGGAGGTCCCGGCGCGCGGCGGGGCGGGGCCTGGTGCCCAGTCCGGTAGCGGGTGAGGCGGGGCCTGGTGGCAGCGCGGCGCGGGGTGCGCGCAGCAGACTCGGCCGCCGGGGCTCTGGAGCGCGGGCCCGCACCTGCTGCCCCAGCCGGGCCCCGGGCGGCCGCTGCCATGCGGCTGGCGCTGCTCTGGGCGCTGGGGCTCCTGGGTGCTGGCAGCCCTCTGCCCTCCCGGCTGCTCCCCAACGTAGGTGAGTCCCAGCCTGGAGGAGGGGCGGGGGGCACTGGGAATCGCGTGGAGACCCTGCTGGCAGAGCCCGACTAGAAGCGGCCTGCCCTGGTCCGCTGGGTCTGAAGGACCGGAGACTTAGCGATGGAGGGGAGGAAGGATGACGGCGTACCCCTAACGGTCCGTATTTGATGCCCTGGCATCAGAGGGCCTGGCCCAGTGCCCCTCACGATCAGCCATGGGAGATGGTCACTGATCCCCAGAACTGACGTCTGTGCCCCTCTGGGGCCTAGCTGACCGTTCCACCCGGTGACAGGGTGCCAAGAGGGTACGGATCGTAGTGTTTGGCGAAGAGGGTTCTTTCCGGACCTTCCATCCCGGGCCTGGGCGACCGGACACCCCTCTCCCTGAGCCTGATGCCACCAGAAGCCGGGCACAGCGGGATCACGCGCCCGGGAGGCGCGGGGAGAATTGGCCCGGAAAGAGGCTGTGACAGCAGCGCCTCCTGGAACTTTCACTTCCCACTGCTGTCTTGGGCGGGGGGCCGAGGAGAGGGCAGGCGGGGTGGAGTGTCCGGAGGAGAGAGGGCCATTGTGGGGCGGGAAGCGGAGGCTGTGGGGAGCGGGTGTGTCAGTCTGGGCATGAGGGGTGTTTAGGGAGGTGGGAGTGTTTGCACTGCTCACCCAGAGAAGGGCGTTGCTGGCATCTCCAACGTGAGGGCAGGGGAGGGGTGAATGGGCACCCAGCCACCAGCCCAGTCCAGAGAGAAGGCGTTCCTTTGGGAGGTTGGGGGGGGTCCGGGCCGGAGTGGAAACAGGGGGAGGGTCCCTGTGAGAACCTGGGATTGGCCCGAGGGGGACGGGGAGGGGGGGTCGGCTGAGTGTCTTTCCCTGAGAACTGTGTGGATGAATTGAGCGGTTGAAAGGAGTACTTTAGAGGGAAGCCCCCTCCCCCTCTGGGTTCTCAAAGTTGCTGCGCGCTGTGCAGCGACCCTTCAGACTGATGGAATGTGTTGGGGGCTGGGTGGGCCGCAGGGGACCCGCCATCCCCAACTCTGCTTGCGATGCGCTTAGCACGCTCTTGGGTGTGTTCTGGGAACCTTGCAGGTGGAACTGAGAAGCAGGTGAAGCCAGAGAGATCCCTGAGCGGGCCCTTGGAGCCCCAGCACCTACAGCCCCGCCTTCCGCTCAGCCTGGTGGAAGTGCTTCAGGTAAGCCCCTCCTCCCTAATAAATACACAATGTACACCCCAGCAGCCCCACCTCTAGCCTGATGGTCAACTTTGGCTGAGCAATGGGGTGAGCAGACCCCAAGGCAGCGGGGGCCCATTCCAGCCCCAGCTGCCCCCCCTCACTGCACCCCGCACCTGGCTTCACTTAGTTCACACATAATTGGCCTGCCCCACCCAACCCACCCATCTCCACAGGGAAAACTCTGATGCCCAACTTGCTTTGTGGGTCTCTTGTCACTGGTTCTCTATGGGGGCATTTCTTGGAGAGGGTGAGGGCCTGGTGCATGCGCCCCCCCCCCTCTCCTTCCCCCAGTCTAACGCTGAGTCAGAGGAAGGACTGGGGCCTGCCCTGCGTTCTCCAAGAGGCTTCCTCTCTGGGCAGGAAGCCGAGAGCAGTTCAGACACCTTCCTTGACCTCCCCACACAACCCCCTAGAACAATGCCCCAGCCCAGGCAGGGCTTCCTGGTCCTTCCCTCAGAATCCCCCTCAGCCGGTGACCTAATCCCTCAAGCTCACCGCTCTTCCGAGATAAGGTTTTCGGTCAGAGGGTAGGAGCTGTGGGCAGAACCCAGAAGTGACATGCCCCCTCCTCCTCCCCCCGGTACCCACAGACCAGTCCACCTGAGGCCCTGCGGGTCAAGTTGGAGCTGGAGGGGGAGAACCACATCCTGGAGCTGCTGAAGAACAGGTAAGAGTGGCGGCCGGTCAGAGTCAGACACCAAGTGGTTGAACTCATCTCATCCTGACGAAGGCAGGGCCGCACGCAGACTCCGGACTGCTATAAACCAAAGCCCAGAGAAGTGACCCAGCGTGCCCAGGGTCACACAGTCAGCGTGGTGAAAACCAGACGGGGAGCCCAGAGGGCCTGGCAGAGTCTGCAGCCCAGTCCCTACATTCTGCTGCTCCTGGGGGGTGGGGGGGGGACCAGGAAGGCTGGGGGTGGGTTTGGGGGCGGGGGTGGATTTGCCACCTGCAGGCTTCCAAGCCTATGTCCCTTTACCGCCCTGAGTCCCGAGAGGTGGCCCTGACACTGTCCCACCTTTTCTTCATTCTGCAGGGATCTGGTCCCAGGCCGCCCAACCCTGGTGTGGTATCAGCCCAACGGCACCAGGGTGGTCAGTGAGGGGCATATGCTGGTGAGTCAGAGCCCCTGTGTCCTGGTCCTGGGGGTGCCCTCCTGGGAGGGTGTGAGAAGACACAACACGGTTCACTAACCGGCTAGACTCCTGGATCCGAGCCTTGGCTTGGCCTTCCAGTTGGTCCTTCATGCTGCTCCTCTGCTGTAGGAAAGCTGCTGCTACCAGGGACATGTGCATGGCCACACAGACTCCTGGGCTTCCCTCTGCACCTGCTCGGGGCTCAGGTATGGTGGGTGGGCCCAGTGAAGGCTGAGTGTGTACGGAGGCGCCTGGCATGGGACTGAATGGCTCTCTGACTTCCTCCATCTGCCCATCTTTCCCTAGGGGCTTGGTGGTCCTGTCCCCAGAGAGAAGCTATGCCCTGGAGTTGGGGCCTGGGGACCCTCAGGGTCCTCCCAAGATCTTCAGGATCCAAGACCTCCTCCTGCCAGGCCACACCTGCGCAGGGCGCCAGACTGTACCCATGCCCACCCATGCCCCACCTGAGCAGCCCTGGAGGCAGCGCCACACTCGCCCCCAGGAGAGGGTGAGTGTCAGGCAGGCTGGCTCCCAGGAGGGAGGGCTGACCCAGGACTGTCAGCAGCTCCGAGGTTTCCACATGCAGGCACTTGGGGAAGATGATTTCATTTGCTCTCCCCAGCAACGCCAAGAGACAGGAAGCATCACTAACTCTATTTCAAAATGAGGAAACCAGCTAAGGGAGATGAAGCGACTTGGCCCAGGCCACACAGCTAATAGGTGGCACATCCAGAACTCAGATATAGGTATTTGACTCAAAGTCCTTATCTGACAATGCCATTGGCAAAGAGCTCTGATGACCGTAGAGAAATAGAGTTCCTGATCACAAAGCTATCAATACCCAGTTTCCTCATTTGTACGATGGAAACTTAGGGGGGGGCGGCGAGGGGATAAAAACCTGATTGACTTCACGGGGTTTTGTGAAGACTAGCTCAATGGCAGTGAGTGTAAGTTCTGTTTTTGGGGATGGGGGTTAGTGTAGGAGCCCTAGTGGCACAGTGGTTACATGTTGGACGCTAACGTCAAGGTCCGCAGTTTGAAACCACCAGCTGCTCCACAGGACAAAGACGAGGCTTTCTACTCCCACAAAGAGTTCCAGTCTCAGAAATTCACAGGGGCAGTCTACCTGTCCTATAGGGTCGCCATGAGTCGGCATCGACAATGGCAGTGAGTTTAAGTGTTTCTATTTTTTTAGTTTGATCTAGCTAAAATGCTTAGAATTGTGCCCGGGATATAGAAAAAAAAATACTCTAAAATCTCACTGCCATCGAGTTGGTGCCAACTCACAGTGACCCACTAGGACAGGGTGGAACTGGTCCTATGAATTTCTGAGACTGGAACTCTTTTGGGGAGTAGAAAGTCCCATCTTTCTCCCAAGGAGCGGCTGGTGGTTTCAAACTACCCACCTTACAGTTAGCAGCCCCACACGTAACCACTGCGCCCCCACGTGCTGGCTAAACTAGTTGCTGTCAAGACAACTCCAACTCAGTAGACCCTTCCCCACCCCCCATGAGTCAGAGGTGACCCCCACTCCAGAGGGCATGCAATGACTGGCTCTAAGGAGCGCCCCAGGCCTTTCTTCCAAGTGCCTTTACCTTATCAGCTGACGGTGTTGACCACCGGCACTACATACACAGCCTCCGTACGGTGGCTGCATCACCATATTTAATTTGGAGTTAAAAAAAAAATAGGGCTTCCCTCCCAGCTTTAGATCCAATTTCTTGGCCCACTCTTGGACAAGCCGCTGGCCTCTCTGGCTTCAGTGGTCCATCTGTAAAATGGGATCTTCACTCCTCTGTGTGACCACCCAGGGTGAGAGTGGGCAGAGTTTGCCCAATCCTATGCAGCCATGAAAGCGCCCTGGTGTCATAGAGGGTAACACATCGGCCTCTAACCTCAAGATCAGTGGTTCAAATCCACCAGCTGCTCTGCAGGAGAAGGATGAGATTTTCTGCCCTCAAAGATCTGCGGCGTCAGAACCCCACAGGGGCTGTTCTACACTGTCCTGAGCCCTGTCGGCCTGGACTCGGTGGCGGTGAGCTCGGGCCCTGCCTGATGGCCCTCCTCTTTGTCCACAGTGGAGGCGGGATGTGGTGACAGAGGCCAAAATTGTCGAGTTGGTGATTGTAGCCGACTATTCAGAGGTGAGCCTGGTGGCCTCCCACGTCCGTCCCCGCCCCCCCTTCCCCCACCAGCCCTGTGGCCTTTCATGGCCACCTCTCTTGGCCCACAGGTCCAGCGGTACCCGGGCTTCCAGCGCCTGCTGAACCGCACACTGGAAGTGGCCCTCCTTCTGGACACAGTGAGTGTGGGCTGGGCAGCTTCTCTTGTGGCCTCCGAGCGGGCCGCCAGAACCCCTGTCCTGAGCCTTGACTCTCTTTCAGTTCTTCCGGCTCCTGAATGTACGGGTAGCACTAGTGGGCCTGGAGGCCTGGACCCAGAGGGACCTGGTGGAGATAAGCCCGAACCCAAGTGTCACATTAGACAACTTCCTCCGATGGCGCCGGGCAGAGTTGCTGCCCCGATTACCCCATGACAGTGCCCAGCTGGTGACGTAAGCCCCCACCCCACCCCACCCCCATCCCCCGCTGCCTTAGGCTCAGCCACCAGGGTCAACACTTCCTTCCCTGTCTGGGCCCAATCTCTATACTCCTTCAGCCCTGCGCCCTGGCCTTTGGCCCTCACCTGTGACTTCTTGGTCTTACAGGGCCACTTCATTCTCTGGGCCCATGGTGGGCATGGCCATTCAGAGCTCCATCTGCTCTCCGGACTTCTCGGGAGGTGTGAACATGGTGAGCTATTTCCAGGGCTCCTTCCACCTGAGCTGGGGTGCCGTGGATCTCCCAGGTCCCACCCCCACCCCCACGACTGTGAGTGCAGTCAGGGAACCCCTCACAGGTCCACGCCCTTAGCCTTCACCCCTGTGGGCTGTCCTCTGCTTGGGGGGTGGCAGAGGCCCTGGGCAGGGCCAGCACCCACGACGCAGAGAGCCAGTGCAGGTTTCCTGCCCCCCCCCCCAGGCCTGGAATCTCCCCCTGCTTCAGGAGCAAGTCAGGGGGTAGGCAGAGAGCCATCTGAGAGCCTCAGAAGTCAGGTGAGGGGAGAACAGGTAGTCAGGGTGATCCAGGCACGCTGGTGGGAGCAGGCTGGACCTGGACCTGGGTGTCCCCTCCCCAATGACAGGACCACTCCATAAGCATTCTGGGGGTTGCCTCCTCGATAGCCCATGAGCTGGGCCACAGTCTGGGCCTGGACCACCACCCACCTGGAAGCAGCTGCCCTTGTCCAGGTCCAGTCCCGGCCAAGAGCTGCATCATGGAGGCCTCCACCGAGTGAGTGACGGGGGGTGGGAGGGTGGGAGGAGCAGCGGGCAGCGAGAGGGCCCCAACCCAACCCCCCTTGCCGCCCTCCCCAGCTTCCTGCCAGGCCTGAACTTCAGTAACTGCAGCCGCCTGGCCCTGGAGAAGGCGCTCGTGGGGGGCCTGGGCAGCTGCCTCTTCAACCCGCCGTCCAGCCTGGTCCCTGCAGAGCCTTTCTGCGGAAATCTGTTCCTGGAGCCGGGAGAGCAGTGCGATTGTGGCTTTCCAGGTGTAAGCCCCTCACTCAAAGCCCTGGCCCCTCACTCCTGTGCCCATACCCGGCTGTGCCCCTCTCTGCTCCCCTGGCCCCCACGCTCACTCCACTCACGGCAGTCAGTCCTCTCTAGGAGGCCAGCCCGCCCTGCTGCCTCCTCATGGCCCTTGCCCACAGGACTGCACGGACCCCTGCTGCGACCCCTTCATCTGCCAGCTGAGGCCACGGGCACAGTGTGCATCCAATGGGCCCTGCTGTCAGAACTGCCAGGTAAGCCACCCAGGGCCCCCTGCTGGGCCGAGGGTGGGAAGGGTCATTCTGGTCGGCTTTGCCCAGCACCCTCAATGACGCTTGCCCAACCTCTTCCAGCTGCGTCCGGCTGGCTGGCAGTGCCGCCCCGCCAGAGGTGACTGTGACTTGCCAGAGTTCTGCCCAGGAGACAGCTCCCAGTGTCCCCCTGACGTCAGCCTGGGGGACGGTGAGCCCTGCGATGGCGGACAGGCCGTGTGCATGCAGGGACGCTGTGCCTCCTATGCCCAGCAGTGCCAGGCACTCTGGGGCACCGGGGCCCAGCCAGCTGCACCCCTTTGCCTCCTTACCGCCAATACTCGGGGGGATGCCTTTGGGAGCTGTGGCCGCAACTCCAAGGGCAGCTACGTGTCCTGCAGCCCTAGGTGAGTGAGGACAGCCGGCCCCTCCTGAGTTTGTGGGAGCCTGGGCCCCGCCCCCGCTGGCCACCTACCCACCCCCACCCCTCTTCCCAGAGATGCAATCTGTGGGCAGCTCCAATGCCAGCACGGTGGGACACAGCCTTTGCTGGGCTCCGCCCGGGAACTGAACTGGGAGATGCTGGATGTCAACGGAACCCAGCTGAATTGCAGCCGGGTGCACCTGGACCTGGGCAACGATGTGGCCCAGCCCCTCCTGACTCTGCCTGGCACAGCCTGTGGCCCTGGCCTGGTGAGCACCCTGGGTGGGGTGGGGACCGGCACTGCCAGGCCTCACTGACCGCCAGTGTAAAGGGACCGGATCTGAGGAAACCTGCTTCTTCCACTCCCGCCACCCTCAGAGCACTGGTCTCCCCATCTCTCAGGGGGTGGGGTGGCCTCCACCTCAGTGGCCTCCAGCCCCAGTAAGGCTCCTTTGGTTCTTGTCTCCCCACTGGGCAGGTATGCATTGACCATCAGTGCCAGTCCGTGGATCTCCTGGGGGCACAGCAATGTCGAAGCAAGTGCCATGGGCATGGGGTGAGCTGACGTGGTGTGGAAGGGGGCAGGGACCCTCTCGGGAGCAAAGGAAGGTGGTCTTTGGAGAGTGGCACACCCAGGCTCCAATTCCTTGCTTTACTACTTCGCGGCTGGTTGTCCTAGGGACAGGCGGTTACCCTCTCTGAGCTCGGTTTCCTCCCCTGCCACAAGGGCACAATCACAGCACCACTCCCTGAATGTACAGGGTGCTCTGTGAATGTTGGCCGGTCTCTGCTTCTCTGCCATGGCTCAGGGTTCCCTCCGCCAGCCTCTACCTCACTCTGCCTGGCTTCCCCACACTCTCCAGACGAAAGCCGGACGGGGAAGTAGAGACCCAAAGAGCAGCACCCTTGACCGCTCTCCTACTCCCTGCTAGGTCTGCGACAGCCACCAGCACTGCCACTGTGAGAAGGGATGGGCACCCCCTGACTGCGCCACCCAGATGAGAGGTAGCAGGGGAGGGGAGGCACTGCCGGGAGGGTGTGGTTCACCTTTCCCCTTTCCCCTTCCCCCTTGGTCCTCCTTTTCTGACCCTCTATCTTTGGCTCCATGTGACTCCCTGACTCCATGTGACCCTGACTCCTTGCCCCTCTCCCTCCCTGCCCCTTGCTCCTGGGTGGGGTGGCACAGGGTTCCTAACCCTTCCCACCTTCAAGCCTGCCTTCACCACCACAGAAACCAGCTCTCTGAACACAGGCCTGCTCCTGAGCCTTCTGTTACTGCTGGTTCTGGTGCTGCTCGGTGCCAGCTACTGGCACCGTGCCCGCCTGCGCCAACAGCTCTGCCAGCTCAAGGGGCCCAGCTGCCAGTACAGGTACCAGTATCGATCACCTCCCTGCTATCAACCCCCTCCACCAGTGACCCAGCACTGGAGCCATGCCCTAGCCACTCTACAGCCCCAGATACTTGGTGTCTGTGGACCCTAAACTTGCAGACCGATGGCCAAGCGCCACCACACCTTCCTCCCCTGTGTGCACCTCTTCACCGTACCTGCTAAAGCTGCCCCTCCTGCCCCCCACGTGTGCCACGGTACCCGGCCCTCCTCACTGGTGACCTACCTAAAGCTCACATGGGCCCCTCCAAGGGGCTGCAGACAGGCAACGTAAGGGTGGGGCACAGGTTCTGGGTCTGGGCCTCACCCTCCTTGCCTTTCTCCATGCTCAGGGCAGCCCAGGCTGCTCCCCTGGAGCGCCCAGGACCCCCGCAGAGGACCCTGCTCGTGCCGAACACCCAGGTGAGTCCTGGGTGCCAGAAGAGAAGGGGCCCAGCATCCAACTCAGGCCCTTGGGTGGGGGAGGCACCGAAGCTTCCAGCACCCTCAGAGGAGCTCGGGCAGCCAGTATGCCTCTCCCCTGGCCGTTGTGGGGGAAGGGCGGTCACCCAGAGGAAGCTCTGGTGAGCTAGCTCTTGGAGTGTGTGCCCCAGCAGTGGCCCCTGGTGGGCACTAGGAGGTTAGTGCTCAGAATGGCTTTCAGTGTGCCAGGACCTGCCGAGGCCCAGGTTGCCATGTATAGAAGGGCTGGTGAGTGCCCCCACCCCAAGCCCTCTGGGTGCAATACCCATGCCAGGAGCCTTGCCCGAAAATGTGGCCAGCATGCCCACTGCACCGCTTGTCACCGCCTCTTTATAACTGCACGCACAGGCCCCGGCGTCCTGGGGGTCCGGCTGCCCCACCCTGAGCACTAACCCCTCTCTGCCCACTTGTCTCTTGGTCCTCCCCCCACACCCCCTCACCCACTCTGTGTCCCTTCGCTCTCCTGCTCTCTCAGCAGACTAGTGCTCTGGGCTTCCCGGCCCCCCCTTCCAGGCCGCTGCCACCTGACCCTGTGCCCAAGAGACTGCAGGTAAATCTGGGCCAGGCCTGCCGTGGCCGGAGCAGGCTCCAAGGCCATGCACACCCGACTCCCTGCCACTGGGCTCTTCCTTAGGTGACCAGGGTGCCCCTCAGCCATGGGGGAGCCTCCTGCCTTGGTTTCTACCCCCATCTGGTGGTCACTGGCGGGACTGCAACCAGCCAGACTATGGTGACCCACCCCTTCCTCCCCAGAGGCGTCTTCAGCATGGGCCGAGCCCTTTTGTGCATGCCCCCCTTTTCTCCCTCCCCTTGACCGGCTGGCTTTGCATGTTGGCCCGAACCTCTCAGGCGTACCTAAGCATGCCCACTGTGCGCTCACACAGCCACTGCCCCTCTCTCTGTTCAGACCAAGCTGGCTGACCGACCCAACCCCCCCACACGCCCTCTGCCCGCTGACCCGGTGGTGAGGCGCCCGAAGGTAACAGTGGGGAGAGAGAAGGGCATGGCCTCTCCCCCACCTAGGGCTGTGGTGCTGGTAGCCTTGGCGGTGGTGGCCGTGGCAAGATGCCCCCTCTGTGCCCAAGGGCACATCCCCCGGTGGCGACGTTAATGGTGACAGGTTTGTTTGGAGACAAGGGTGACCTCTGGGTGCTGCTTACAAGCTGGTGCCCTCCAGTGCCAGCGCATTGGGGGCGGGCAGCGTGACACCCCCTCCCAAGCTGGCTTCCTGCCTTCTCTCTCAGTCTCCGGGGACTACCAAGCCCCCGCCCCCGCGGAAGCCATTGCCTTCCGACCCCCCGGATCGGGGCCCACCGGATAGGCTGGCTGGCCCAGGAACTGGGATCCCACCCCAGATGATACCTTCCAGGTAAGCAAGGGGGTGGGGGTGCTAAAGATGGGTGGGCTGCCGAGTGGTGGTGGTGATGATGGATGGGCTCCCATTGCCTTGTTTCTTGGCTCTCCCTACCCCAGGCCCGCACCACCGCCCCCAGCAGGGTCCTCGCTCTACCCCTGACCTCTCTGAGGGGTCTGCGGCTTCCAACCCGGATTTAGAAGCACTTCAAGAGGCAGATCCGCCCACTAGACTCTCCGAGATGACTGAAGGGCCCGGAGCCTGGACACTGTCTTTGTACCCTGTCATCTGAGCAGGTGTCTCCCCACGAGCAATCAAAGGGCATCCAGCGGGCCCGCCACGCGGAGGTGGACGGGCGGGGCTGGGAGCCGGACAGGGCAGGGGGAGGTGAGCAGAGCCTGTCTGCCTGCCCGCCCGCTCAGTGGCTGTAATAAACGTGCGATCTTGGAAGCACGCCTCAGAGCCTCTATGCAGAGAAGGCCGGGTCGCCTCTGCTCTGGCCAGTTCCAGGTCTGGCCGCCAGGAGACGCTGCTGCCCCGGATGAGGGCGGGCAGGGGTGGGGAGGAGGGAACCTCCCAGGCTGGGTCACCCGTGCTTCCCGGGATGTTCACAGAGTTTCTGCCCAGTCTGGGTGACTCTCAGCGCTACTCACAGGGCTGAGTCCTCGACCCCTGAGTGCCAGGCCTCCTGGGGGCGGGGCGGTGACCGACAAAGTCGCCAAGCCATCGGACCTGTGGTCCCCACCCTCCGGCCAGTGACTGGGAGAAGTGGATTTGGCTAGCGTTCCTCCGAGCGCCAGAGCCGGGCGGAACGGGGCGGCGGCTCCCACGGTCCCAAGGCCGCGCACCTGCCTCCTCCCCGTCCCCCGCCCGCACCTGAGGGCTCGAGAACAAAGGTGCTTTGAAAAGGCCGCAACCACCTCATCACTTGGTCTTCGGGGCTGCCCAGCACCAAGGTGTGTGGGAGCGGGGGGAGGGGAACATGAGCTAACTCGAAGACGGCAAGGAGCGAGGCGCCCCAGGACGCGCTCGGTCCCTTCCAGCCGCAGACCCGGGCTGCTGTGCAAAACAAACAGGGGTAACGTGCTCAGGTGACAGGGCAGACTTCCTGGCGCGGCGTCTGCGCCTCACTTTCCCCCTCGGAGGAAAGGAAGCACCCCTACTTAACACCTGCCTGGTTTATCATAAGGTGCTCTACCCTGTAGTAGGACAGACACGAAACACAAGACCTGTACCTCCCTGAAACAACAACAAGAAGAGCCATAGAGTGTAATACGGCCCCTCGGGTCCTCCCAGCAAGGTCCGGCCACTGTGCCAGCTCGGCTTTAAGTGGCGTGCGCTACGGCGCGCAGAGAGTTAACCCGGAGTTGGCTCGGAGTGGAGGGGCGGGCACGCGCCTCCATTGGTAGAAAGTTACCAGTGGGCGTGGCCTGCGAGTCTCCGCACCCCACCCCCTCCC